AGTTCAGCGGATCAAGTATTTTGGTCCATAGTGCAGCGACTGCAGCAGGAAAGCTCTCCCGGCCTTTTGCTGGAGAGGGAGTTTCAGTCTTCTCTGCAGGCAGCAGGGGCTCACTTTAGTGACCGCAGGCCCGGCTCCCTGGCGGCCGTGCTCTGGGACAGCGTTCAGACCCTCTCAGGCACCTGTGGAAAACTGAGGCTCCTTAGCGCTTTCCCTATGAAAGACTACTTTCACTTTCTTGATCATGGTTTTCACAACAGCCTGTGAGTGTTAATAGTCCCGTTTTATGTTTAGGGAAACTGAGGCCCAGAGAGATTCAGAGGGAAAAAGTGAAGTTCATGGTTACGCAGTCAAGGAGCAGCAGAGCTAGGACTTGGATTCAGATCTTCTGACATTACATCCAGTGCTGGCTTCGTTTTACCCCAGAAGTACCTTTCAACATCACCGATGAGAAAACCTCCAAAGTCATCTTCTTATCCCACATTTCACAGATCAGAGAACTGAGGTCACGCCAACTCACTTGGGCCAAGTTAAATGGCTAAGCGACTGCCTTTTTGACTAAATGTTCCCTGTCTTGCCTCTAATAACTGGTCTTTCTTATCAGTCATCTTACACCTACGCTAACCCTTGTAGTGACCTCGTAGATGTGATCTTTCCTGTTCTGTTGATTCTCTGTAAAATGCTAGGTTTTTAAAATTCCTCAGTCAAGTTCTGAGTAGACATATCAGGCAGCTTCAACCTTTATCTCATAGACAGTATCAGCAGAAATAATTCAACAATTCTGTCCAACTCAGGAATTCAGCCAGGCAAATACATAACATAGATACACACACACACACACACACACACACACACACACACACACTACCAATGAAGCTAATGCAACCAGCCTTTCCTGAAGGTGATGATGGTAGTAGCCGTATTGAGTACCTTTCTCAGTGCCTGGCATTATCCTGGGACTTCAGCTACATTTTCTCATTTAACCCCCAGCTCAGCCCAGTGAGGTAAATGCCATTGTCGACCCCATGGGTTCTGTTGACATCTCCCCACTCCCTGCTTCCACCACCCAACTGTCTTCATGACCTGGGCGGATGCCACTGAGTGGGCTCAGAGACACTGGTGCTGCCCTGAGCTGGTTGGTTTCAGCTTCACGTCCTGTTCCACTCTTCCCTAACCTCCACGAGGTGAACTTCCTTCTCCACGATGGGCTGTTTTCCAGATCATCTCAGTTCATTGGTTAATTCACTCATTTGTGTTCATTCATTTCTTCACACACCCACTAGCTACTGAGTGCCTCCTCTGTGCCAGGCACGCACGGCTGCATGCCAGGAGAGAGTCCTGGCCCTCAGGGCACTTCCATTCCTTGGGAAGAGAGGTGTGTTCGCAGACACCTGCACTTTGAGCTGTATGGTGCTCAAGGGAAAGATAAGATGCCACAGAGGAAGGCCACCTAACCCAGATGTGGGTGGGGAAGTCAGGGCAGGCTTCCTGGAGGGATGAATCATGGCTCAAGTCATAAAGAAGGGTTAGGCGTCCGCTGGGCTGAGAGGAGAAGGACTGTTTCAGACATCTGGCTTTCTCAGTATTCTTGGCTTCTCCACTCGTTTTCCTGCCGGCCACATAAGGGAGAGAACTGAGACCAGAGATACAAAGCCATCCCTCTGGCCTCACACATGCCACATTCCTTCCTCTTCCTTCTCATCCTAATTTCTACTATGCCATTGTTTTTCAACCGTGTCCAGAACCACCTGGGGGAGTTTATAAAATTCCGATGCCCGGGACTTAGCCCCCGTTCTGATTAGTGGTTGGGGGGTGTGGCCCGGGCACTGGGAGTTTTGTAAAGCTCCCTGTGTGACTCTAATGGGAGCCAAGGCTGAGAACCGGTGCGCCACGTCACGCTGCCTTTCCGTGTCCACGCCGGCTGCAGCTGCTGGTGGTGCTGTGTGACTGTAAGTGTCCACATGTGTGGGATCCATGTGACCAGAATGCAGATTCTTTGTGACCAGGAGTCTTGGCCTCCTTGCTGCTTCCCCACCCAGTGACCTCACCCCTCTGCACATGCCCTGCCAGAGGGTTGCGCTGACTATTTAATCAGCTTCTTAGTTCTCATGTCTCATCCAGGGGATTCACTGATAGGCGGTTGGAGTTTGATCACACCCAGCTGCTCTCATCCTCAGAGCCTGTTGACATAGCAGAAGAGTCTTATAAACACGCTGAGCACACTCGCTGGTCTGGAGAGCGTTGCTCGTGACCTAGACCCATTGCAAGTGCAGCCAGGGTCGGCCTCCCATGCTCAGCCGCCCTGCTCGGGAGGGAGGAGGCTGTTCTGAATTCCCCAGCACACTGTCCATGTGACTGGTCAGTGACAGTCAGCCCATGTGTGTGCTCTGTCCTGTCCAGGGCTCAGAGAGGTCTGACCCAGCATGGAGCTTTTCCCTTTGTCCCACAGTGCTCAGTGTCTGGCTCCCATGTCACGCCCCAGGCGGAGCCACCAGTGTTCCTACATCTCTTCCTGTTTACCCCTCCCACAGGGACACCAGGACACCCCTGATGTCACCGTGTGTCCCTGGGAGTGTGATTCTGGGGATCCTGTTTACTCCTGGGATGTGGCCGGGGAGTGTCATCCTGACACCACGGGGCCCTTCTTGGACCTGCTCAGCTGAAAGGAAGTCTCCTGTGATGCTGCCCAGATACTTCCGGAACCTTCCTAGTCCTAATCACATCTCCAGATATTCATTGTTCAGCCATCGTTCCCTGACCAGTAATTCTTTGGCAGGCCCTGATCTGGGCACTGTGACAGAGATAAAACACATATTCTGTGTCCCAGAGGCATAGTATAGTGCCGTGGTCGGCAAACTGGCTTGCGAGCCACATGCGGCTCTTTCACCCCTTGAGTGTGGCTCTTCCTACGCCTAGGAGTACCCTAATTAAGTTGATAACCATGTACCTACTTATATAATTTAAGTTTAAAAAATTTGGCTCTCAAAAGAAATTTCATTCGTTGTACTGTTGATATTTGGCTTTGTTGACTGAGTTTGCCGACCACCGGTCTAGTGGATTTGGCATACAAATAAAACACCATTCCTAGAAGTCCAGTTCCCAGGACCCCTGCACAGAGTCGAAGGGGTACTTATTAAATTACGGATTTTTAGGCCCCATTTTAGAGCCACTCTTCCAGGATCTGTGGGGAGTGGGCTCAAGCAGCACTCTCCCTAAGTGGAGCTCAGGTGCTCTGAGGTTTGACAACCACTGAGGTGAGCCTGCAGTAATAGTATCATGTCATACGTGATGGTGAGCCCCACACAGGTGGCCGTCTACAGGTATCCCTATTCCGAGGAGGACACTAACTGGGCAAGAACATGAGGAGTAACTAGAGGTAGCCAGAGACTAACTTCTCTAAAGATGGGACCTGTGCTAAATTCCTTTTTATAACGTGCATTCCTCAAGTTTGTGTAAGCCAGTGGTTCTCAACCTTGGCTGCACATTAGAATCACCTGGGAATCTTGTTAAAATCCTGATTCCTGGGCCTCGTCCTCCGGAAATTCTGTTTTTTTTCTTACTAATGATGAGGCCCAGAAATCAGGATTTTAACAAGATTCCCAGGTTGAGAACCACTGGTGTAAGCAAACACACTTGGGTCCGACAGCACTGATGAGATCTGGCTGGGCTGCTGGGCCCTCCCACTGCGTCCCCGCACATGCCCTCACTCCCAGGGGCAGCTCCTGTCCTCTTTAAGCCTCAGACCGCAGGGGGTTTTCAGATCTAACATGTCTCAGTTAAGTGACTTGGTTTGCAGGGTTTGCCCCCTAGAGGTCGGGCAGTGCCAGGCCCGTGGGCTGCAGTCTGCAGGCGATGACTGCCCACCACGTGCTCATGATCAGCTGGCTTTCTCTGTATTGGACGAAGCTGAGTTATTAAGAGAGTGAGCAGAAGGAGAAGAAGTGGACAGTCAAATGAAATATGGCAGGGAAAACGATGGTATTTTAGAGTCGGGGGCCCCTGCCTAGTATCTGGTCAGAAACCTCAGTTTGGAGGTGAAGCTGAGGTTCAGGAAGATGACCTGAAATTCCCAAGAGGCACCGTGTGCACAGCCTCCAACCCTGGGGCCTAGCCTTCTGCCTTTCCGGCCAGTGCTCTTTCTGCTTCAGGACACTGGATCGGAGCAGTCTCTAATGTACCTGGAGAGCTCATTTTTTAAAGGGGTTCGGTATGAAATCCTGCAGCCATCCAATCGTTACTACAGGTGATTTTTAAATATAGTTAGGTGTTTCCTTAAAGCGCCGCAGAGCTGGGTTTGGGAGCTCCGTATCACGTGTTCCATGTTTGGAATTAAACCGAGACGATGTGGGTGGAAGCACTTTGATATGAGTAATGCTCCCCCCCCCGCCCCCCGTGGTCCTCAAAGTGGGTGCCCTGGCCCCACAGCATCAGCGTCGGCCCGAAACTTGCTAGAAAAGCACATTCTCCAGCCTCCTCCCAGGCCCCTGAATCAGGAACTCTGGGGATGGGACCAGCAAGCTTTGTCAACAGGCCCTGCAAGCGATTCTCAAGCCAGAGAACCGCTGCCCTTTTACAAAGAAAGCAGCCCGGGGCTTGAAGAAATACGACTTTAAATACCTCTGATTTGAGCAATCTGAGATGCAGCGGGGAGGCAGGAGCAGAGGGGTTAGGGCCACAGATCTCAGGTGGGATGGGTGAGAGCCTTTGAAAGGTTTGTCGTTTCCTTGGAAAGCCAGGGCAGGCTGTGTGTGTGTGCACAGTACTGTTGAGCCCAGGTGCGCATGCTGAGTGTGGCTCCCCACGTCTTCAGAAAGCAACCTCCTTGTGTCCCTCCCTTACGGAGAAGCTCCCGAACCTGGTTACTCTGTGAGCTTATGCCAGAAGCCTGTGGTTGTCCATCGGTTTAAAACGAGGTTTTCTCCACACACCCCATTGTGCTGACATATTTTTTTTTTTTGGAATTACTTATTAAATGAAAATAAAACACTATTTCCCTGCAGGTTTGACGCTGCAGGATTTCCTGGTGGACAATGAAACCTTCTCTGGATTCCTGAATCACAACCTCTCTCTGCCAAGGCCTACTGTGGACAGAATGCTGGGGGCCGAGGTCAGCCTTCGCCAGGTAAGCTGCCACCCGCGGCTGCCTCAGTGGGGCTGATGGCCATGGCATTGTTCGAGGGAGCCTGGAGAGAAACGAATAAGCCCCTGTCCTCCTCATGGCGCTGAAGGAGGGCATTAGCTCAAGTTCACCTATTCTTACTTCCCTGTGCAGGCTGGCTGGCGCTGCCAAGCCTTTCATAAAGTGGAACCTGCAACCTGCCGTCAGGGGCCAGCTGGTTGAAATAAAGCTGATTTCCTGCCTGTCAACTGGCATTTGTTGCTAACTTCCTCCTAAAAGGGGGATGACTTTAAGTTAAGATGAATTAAGCATTTTCGTTGAAATGTCACAGTTCCGAGACAATAAGCAGGGTTGAGAATTATTGATCTGGAGCAGCTCTGTCAGCAGATTTTTAAAAACTTAATGCTTCCTTTAAAGAAAGATATGTAAGGAGAAAATGTTTATTTTTTCTTTCTTAATTTATATAACCAGGAAGTAATGTTAGTGTTTATATAGATTTTTAACCTTCCATTCTTGGAAACCTTCCTCGGGCATCACTTAGATAGACAGCTCCCGTGGAGCGGGTAGGAGACCCCCTTGCATGGTTATTGATTTTCAGAGAGGCTTCCCGTGTTTATTCTTGGCAGAAAGGGGAACTACTTCCTCACTCGGTCTCATGCCTGCATGCTAGTTTGTCTTTACAGTAAGCAGAAGCAGTGCAAATGTTTATGCCTGAAAACAAGATCTTTGCTGCACATGCTGTCGAACTCTTAAAATCAGAAAAATGTGCTTACCGCTTGCCATGATGAAACTAGGAAAATATGCCTTGTGTTTAGCAATTGTGTGGTCGGGAGGTGGGCCAAAGGGAGCAGGCCTGTGAAAATAGCTGCATTTAGCATGATTTCCACTGCCCCCTGCCAGTTTCATATCTGTCATGTCACGTCTGATCAGTTAAAAATGGGGGGTATGCTAAGTACGGAGGTGGCCCTTGAGTGGTGATAGATTCTCCATGGAGCCTGAACTCTTAACCACAGACACGAAAGGGAGGCCGGCAGCCTGAAGGCAAGGACAGTTAGAGAAAGGAGTCAGGCTGGAGTGCGCTTGGGTACCTGGTAGTCGGTGGAAACGTAGTGGAGACCGTGGCAGGCCGAGTGCTCTGCAGCCTCAGACAGCTGCATGGGTTTTGTGAAGCTTGAGGTTCACCACTCACAATAGGCTGTACTACAAGCAGGCCAGGCTGCACTGATTTAAATGAACGGGGGAGGTAGTAATGGAGTAAGAGAGAGTCTGCATCATCCATTCATTATTCCACAAACGTTACTGTCGGTAATGTTTCAGCGTTAGGGACCCAAAGTGAGCAGGAAAAGCAAGGCCCCTCCTCTTCTTGGACTTGCTGTCTAGTGGACAGTCAGGGCCATACCAGAAGCTCAGTTTATGTAGGCCCAGAAAAGCTAATTAAGTGAAAATGTGGCCAAGCAGAGGTTCTCTAGGGGGGGGTCTGCTATAATGAACAGATAAGAGTGACTTAGAACTGGTCCCAATGAGACAAGAAGCTTGGCTTGCTGGTACTCCGCTCCTGGGCAAGTAACATGAAGAGTTCCAAATTCTGAAATTGCATGAATAGTTCTTTGCATCCGTTAATTATCAGTACCTACAAATAAATGGAATAAGTGCTTCTTTTTCTATAATTCAGCCCAACCCCTGTTGAACATATTATAAGTTCTAAAATAATGAGAATGTTTTTCTCTAATAAAAGTGGCTTCAGGAGTTCACACTCTAGATTCCTAGCCACTGAATCGTGTGTCCCACTTTTGAGAAAAGACTTGGACTCAGGATTTCCCTTCTCAAGGACAGGAGAGTGGGAGACGGACGATGAGTCCAACACAACATTCAAGTGTTCAGTGTCCTGGCAGATCGTGCCTGGACAGTCGGAAGTTCATGAAAGAGACCCAGTGCATTGAACTGTTTCAGGGGTGTTTGGTTCTTCAGAGCTGTGTCGATGTGAAGTCACCCAAAAGGCTTCAGGGACCCAGCTTCCCATCTTTGTAACCCAGTCCTGCTTGTCTCTCTCTGCATGAAATGCTTCCAGGTATTTTTGCACGGCTACCAGTTACGTTTGACCAATCTGTGCAGTGGATCTAAGTTAGAAGAGGTGATCCAACTTGGTGACCAAGAAGTTTCCAGGCTCTGCAGCCTGCCAGGGGAGAAACTGGAGGCCGCAGAGCGAGTGTTTCTTTCCAACTTGGACATTCTGAAGCCCATCCTGGTGAGTAGGCGTGCTGTGTGGACAAGCTTCAAGCACTAATTCTGGTGGAATGTGAAATTTTTCCTTGGACAACGTGACTTTGTTTTTGTAGAAACATAGAGCTGGCTGGGAGTCTGAGATATAATTTAGCTCAGTGGTATTCTAACTGTTCTTGCAAACTTTTGGGCTATCTCCCGAAGGGTAAATGGAGGAAGAGTGAGTTTGGGTGTGGCTCTGAGTCTAAGCCCAAGGCCCTTTGTGCCTGTTTTAATCAGAGATGACCTGTTTTTCTGAAAAATTATAATTTGAGATTATATGAGTTCATTTGAAAAAAGAGTTCTCCAGATTTTTTTTTTTTTAAGGCTCAAAACGGTTGTTGGCAAGAGAGAGATCTATTCATTTTAAAAAGCCCATCAGAAAGGAGACACTGTGAGCTGTCACAGTGGGAAAGCCTTGGAATTGGATGGAAGCACATTCAATAATTAGCTTAACCAGTGACAAAATTGCATTTACTCTCCGCCGCCCCTCCCCCAAAAATGCCAACGAAGTCTGATCAGTCTCGGATTCAATAGTTCAGAAAAGCAGTCCATGAGAATACATGTTCATTCTTATTCAAAGAATGGGGGATGAACTTAAGCATTTTGGTCTTTGGAGTGTTGTGAATAATTCCAGAACAGGTGCATTTCTGGGGGTTTTGTGAGACCTCTGGTGAATTGCCCCTCCCAACAACATCATTTAATATCCAGTGTTCTTACCAGATAGCACTTTGATTTGTCTGTAGTTTCTCTTAAAACCAGGAAAGAGCCCTAGAAGAAAGATATGCCTGGAAAGAGGTGTTCCTCATTATAATCCATAGAAATTTGAATCCTCTAGGACTTTGTGCCACATAATTTCCTTATATAGAGAGATGGGTCCTCTTAGACTGGCACATGGTTTACTTTCAGTTTGAGCTACAACATAAATCCTAGTCCTAACCTGGAGTTTTTGAATATGGGCAAAGTGAAGGAGAAATTTTAGTTTACTTTATGAAAGTATTTAAAGAAAGTTTGAAATGTCCCCATAAACACTTGGTGACATGCATTGGCATGAGGAAAACAAAATTGTGCATTATATTGAAAATACATCCACATTTCACTTTATTTCATAGTAGAGTCCCTGAAAAATTTCTGTGTAGATAGACTTTTATAAATTGAAGAGAGTTTTCAATTACATTTTTATTTCACAGAATGTTCTGTCTTCTCTTTCTAGTATGGCTGTGACTTCCATTGCATTAGTAGTAATCCCTCCCAGTCTTCATTTTGTGTAGTAATCTTCTATAAATAAACATATTCATTCATTCAATAAATATTTACTGAACCCTGATCTGTGCCATGTACTGGGCCAGGGAGGCCATGTACTGGGCCAGGGAGGCCGTGGTGAGCAAGGTACAACTTTCTCTGAGCTTCCCTGCAGGTGGGGGAGTAGATGGGAGAGACCAAGCAAGGAGCAGATGCGCTACAGATGCCCTCTGCTCGTTGCCTTGGAGGCTCTGATGTGGCCTCTTCATCCAGCCCTCTAGGTTGAAACCAAAGAATAGAGGTTAGCCAGGTAAAGAACAGGAGAAGGATGCTCCAGGCAGAGGATATGGCCTCTGTATGCGTCTGGAGGGGAGAGAGGAGGAGGTGGCATTTAGAGGACCTGCACATGGTTGAGTAGCTCTGAGTGAAGTGGATGTAGCGATGGGGAGTTTAATGGGAGAAGGGACGTAAGGCATGACACTGCGGTGGTGGGCAAAGATTACCTGATCATGTTAGGCGATTGGGCCTCATCTTTAGGGCAAGGGAACCACCCAAAGACTCTAGAGCAGTGATTCTCAACCTTCTGGCCCTTTAAATACAGTTCCTCATGTTGTGACCCCCAACCATAAAATTATTTTCGTTGCTACTTCATAACTGTAATGTTGCTACTGTTATGAATCATAATGTAAATATCTGATATGCAGGATGGTCTTAGGCGACCTCTGTGAAAGGGTCGTTTAACCCCCAGAGGGGTTGCGACCCACAGGTTGAGAACCGCTGCTCTAGAGGGTGGATGACTCGAGGTGAACACAAAACAGAGTAAATCTGCGAATTTGAATGACCATTGGAGCAGGACTCAACACCAGTCCATCTAGCCCTCCTAATGTGCTCTCCCTTCCTTTTGATTCTCTCCCCCTTCCCTCCCTCCCCGCCCCTACCCACAAACATTTACTGGGTGTCTAGTTACTATGTGCCAGGAACTATGCTGAACACTGAGCTGAAATAAAACACCAGCCCAGAAATTAAAGTCAAATTGCCTTTTACATTTTCAGACTTTTATAATTTAGCTATTAAGCTAGTGAGGAGAGAAAGAAAATAATGAAGTTATCTGTTAGACCCAGAAAGGAGAGGGCACAATGGCCTTTGTCATTCTGGGGACAGCACAACAGAATGTCATGTTTTTAGGAACTGTTACTGTGTTGTGATTAGAACATTTTATAGAAGTAGGTGGGAGCTTTTGAGTAACACAACAAGCGTTTGTTCATTCTTCCTGTAATGCTATTATAGTCTTTAGTTATGATCTAAAAATATTGAATAATGCATGAATTCCTGTTTACTCAACACAGAATGTACAGTTCTTCACTAAAGGTTTTATTTTTCCTCTTTCCACCCCTTTTCCTTACTTCATATGAGAAAATCACTTGCTTCCAGTGGTCAGTAGGGACCTGTATGAGTTCATAGCCAGGGGTGTTTTTGGTTAGGAGAAATGATATAAGGAATTCCAAACTGAATTATTTACTGGAGCTCTTTGGAAAAGTGATGTGGCAAGCTTTGCTGGCCTTTGTGAAGCAAGTATGAGCGGGAAATCACAGTTAATATTAGTGCAGGTACTTGGTTCTCAGATTTCATTTTGTGGCCTAGTTTCAGGCATGTTTCCTGGGTTAATGTTATTTAAGGAAGTTACGTCTTTCAGATCTGATATATACTCAACCCACCTTATGCTTTTTGCCCTTCCTTCATCCCTACCTTATTTTCCCTCCTTTCCTCCTCCCCCTCTCGCTTATCTTTCATTGAATTAAAAAGAAAATTTATGCCCTGGCCAGTGTGGTTCGGTTGGTTGAGCATCCTCTCATGCACCAAAAGGTTGCTGCTTCTATTCCCAGTCAGAGCACATGCCCGAGTTGCAGACTGGATCCCCAATAAGGGGCATGTAGGGACAGTCGATTGATGTTCCATTCTCACATCAATGTTTCTCTCTCTCCCTCTCCCATCTTGTGTTTAAACTCATAGTTGTGAATGGTTTTAATTAACTTGTTTATTTTCAATAGAGATTTCAGGTTTACATTTGAGTTTAAAAGCCAAGTATTTTTTTTTTTCTCATTCCAGACAGGACTAGACTCTATATCTCCCTTCCTGAGCCAGGAGCTGACTGAAGGCACAAAAATGTTGCTGGATAGTCTCGGGACTCTGGCCCAAGAGGTAAGTTGTGCCTTTCCAGCACCAGGAGGCAGACCAACCTCTGTCGCTTTTTTTCTTACCCTAAGTTGACTAGCAAGGTTTTCTTTAAATGTAAATATCATATGAAATGTACAATCAGTGTTAGAGGCACTGGTGATGTTTAAAATGATGTGGTTTGATCTCCTTACTGTAGAGATGAAGAAACAGACTCATAGATGTCTCAGAGCTAATTAGCTAGTGGCTAAAGACCTCATATCTAGTCTAGAACTTTCTTCCATTTTTATTCCCACCCCTTGCTAATAACTCCTTTGGAAAGAGGCCCCGGCTTACCGCCTCCCCAATCCCCCCCCACCACCCCATGTGCTGCTTTTGTCTTACCAGCAACTTCTCCATGTTTCTTCTGCAGTTGCAAGGCCAGATACTCTTTACCAAAATATTTGTATGCTAATTAAAGGGAATAATGTGGATATCCCTAAATCACATCTTTCCCCTGTAAACATTTGGCCTATGGGATCCCACTTTGGGAATATAGTCTCTTGATGAACATTGAGTTGAGCCCACAGGTTGACAGATGTGTAAGAATAAACTTTGTCATAGGATCCGCGGGCCTGTAGGTGCTCACAAAAGCAGTTCACCTTTCCTCTGCCTCCTGGCCAGTGAGTGCTGCCCCTTTCTGACACCCAGCCTTGTTGCAGATGAGACTTTGGGAAGGAGGAGTTGTCTGGAGCCCAGTATGTGAGGAGCTGAGCCCAGTGGGCAGAGGGCAGAAGGCAGGGGACATTGGATAGGACTGACTTGTGGGGACATTTTTTCAGACATGGTCCAGCCTTATTTTGAGTTGCTTCTCTAACTCATTTTTTTGGTGTTTCTCAAATATCAAAATTCTCTCTTTTTTTCTCCCTGGGAATAAAAGTATTGCATGTTCACTGTGGAAAATGCACAATGCTTGGAAAATATCGAAAACACCAAGATTAAGCCATCACCCCTTTAGTATGTTGTTTTTGGTTCTCCTTTATTTTAAAAAAATTGTGCTCATGTGTGTCTGACTGAAGAGGCTTGGTTTTTGCATCCCTTTCAGGGAAAAAAGCCCCCTTCCAGCTGCCTTTGGTGACTTCAGTTATGAATGCTGGTGACCTTTCTGTAAGGGGAGAAGCTGGGTCACCTGGGGTTCTTCCAGGAAACACTGCCTGGCAAGTCCATAGCTGTTTCTCTAGGGTCCCGTTAGCTGACATTGATGTGCCCTGACCTGACTGCTCCTCCAGGTCCTTGCCCAGCTGTACAGAAAGTAGAGCAGGGACTGCGACAGGGGAGGCTGTCTCTAAGCTCAGGGTCTGGGTAAGGCTGTTTCCCCTTACATCACTGGCCTGCCTTTTGTCTGGGGTAAAAAAAATAAATAAAAAATTAAAAGCATGTGATGTTCCCACTGCTGACGTGGCGAAACTCTCCAACTGAGCAATATACATTTTTCTTGGCAGCTTGCTCCCTGGTCCAGGGCAAGCAGGGGCCATCTCCTTTCCCTGTAAAACCTTCAAGTCATTTCAGCCACACGTTACCCATTGTCTAACTTGCTATTTCTCTGGGACAACTGGGAGAGGACAAATCCATAAATAAATGCCCTTATTGATCTGTTCAGTGTTTGGGGGAGAAGTTGGTTGTCTTGACCAGAGCACACCCCTTGAAGGAAAAGGGAGCTGATATTTTCTGAGTAGCTCCCCTGGTTCATGGAGTTTCACTCAATTTTCCTGCATAATCCATGTGACAAATATGAATGGGTCTTACTGTGCCCATTTTATAGAGGACAGACTCAGAAAAGTTAGAGAACTTGCCCACAGTCATCTAATGGGTAAAACTGGGATTAGGACCCAGGACTGTTGGACTCCAAAGCCCATGTTCTTGCTGCTATAGCCCACTTGTTGTCTGACGAACTCCAATGGTAACTGGTATCGAATAGGAAGGAGACTCGTTAAAGGGAGAAGATATAGATAAACAGGACTTGGCAGTTGAGTGGACGTAGTTGAGTCAAAGCTGACATGAGCTTCATGTCTGGGGAACAGGACAGGGAGGCTGTGCCTGATGGGATCAGGAGGCAGGGCAGGGAGCAGCGTCTGTGATCCACCCAGCACCTTCCAGGGGCCCGGCATCGCTAGATGTTGGGACTCAGCAGTGAACACAGTAGCTTCCCTCTTCTCCTGGGTCTCACGTCGGGTGGGAGACAGGTCGGTGTATGATGTGATCACAGGGATACATGCAAGGAAGAAAAATAAAGCAGGGAAGGGAGACCATGATGAAACGTTGTTTTAAAGGCAGTGATTAGAAAAGTCCTCTCTGATATGGTGACAGTTGAACCTGCAGGAAATGTCAGTGTTTCAGTGGAGAAGGAAGAGCACTCCACACAGGAGGAACCACAGATACAGAGACACCTGTGTGCGGCACGATGAAGGAATGTATTTAAAGATCAGGAAGGAGGCCGGGGTAGCCCGAACAAAGTGAGCAAGTTGAGAGGGTGGTTGAAGGTGAGAGGTCAGAGGAAGAGGTGAGAGGTCAGAGGAGGAGGGGAGTGCCACGTAGGCCTGGCCGGGCTGAGTGAGATGGGAGGCCAGGAGATGGCTGGGAACAGAGGGGCAGGCATGACGTGACCTAGCACCTGAGACTGCATTCTGGCTATTAAACTAAGAAGAGACCATGGTGGGGGCACATGGCAGTGGGTTGAGAGGCAGCGGGTCAGTCAGCCATTCACTCGCTCCAGGGAAGATCAGACACCACCTTTCGTGGGCTGTGTGTGGGAGCGCTTCACCGAGGGGTGTGGACTGTGCCCCTCAGACAGGTGCTGGGAGAGCCCAGTGCAACCTCGTCACTTACAGTGCCTCCGCGCAGAGACGGCTGGTTTCATGTGGGAGGCAGTGTGTTCTTTTGGTTGGGGCACGGCGGGATGGTGGTGGTGAGGCGGCCCCTGGGAAGAGAAGCGAGTGGCTTTCGCTATTATTTAAAGATCTCCATGGCTGTTCCACTCACGGACAAAGGGGAAGTGGTCTGCCGTCTCTCCCTCCCTGTCTGTACACCTCATGCAGGTTATGAGAAGCATAAGTGAGGAAAAGCTGGCCACCTACTTGTTCTCCCTCTTTGGAGGGACAGACGTTTGTGACATCTGACATCTGTGCCTGGCTCCCCTCGGGGCAGGAAGCTGTCAGGATCTATAGGACCATGTCACTCACGGGAACCAGCAGACTCTGTGAGACAGAAACCTGGGGGCGTGGAGTCTGATTCTAGGCCTCCTCTGAGGCGTGTGCAGGTTCCATAGTCCCCTGCCCCCCCAATGAGGGATCTGTTAATGATGTACTGTGAAATGTGTGGAAATACAAAGTGCTCCATAAATATTTAATTATAAGAGCAATGGGGCCAAGAACTCCACAAGGTGCGGGAGTCCATTTGTATGGGAGGCAAAGCCCTTGCCGAGTGGAAGTCAGACACAGCCCCTGGCTGCCCGGAGCGTCTGACTCATCGCTCGCGGGGGCTGTTCCGTGCAGGGGCCGCTCTCGTGTGTCATGTGATTTATTCCTCGCCACCACACTGTCATCGTCTTGATGATAAGTTGGGCCTTAGAGGGGTGACTCTTGTAAGCCTGTAAGCTAATGAGAGACAGAGCTGGGATGCAAACTCGGGTCTTCCCACTTCATGCTTTTCCATCACCCAGCACTGAGCTGAGACAAGGATGGGACGGCACACACAGTCACTTTTCTCCCAAGGGGCGGGGGGGCCCCTTAGTTTCCACACTGAGGTTGAGGGTGTTTTAGAAATGAGTCCGTGATCGAGGGTGTGAGCAATTCCTGATGTATGTATATGAGCATGTAGCCGTTCAGAGAAAGCATTCTCTCCTACACCAGAAGACAATCAGAATGAAATAATGCCCATTGCCAGCAGCTCCACTCACTGCCCAGCTGTGCTTCTCTATCTTGACTGTGCCTGGGGATCACCCGGCATCTCATGAAATTGCAGGTTTGAACTATATCAGGTAGATCAGGTCTGCATTCCAGACCTCTCAGAGTACACAGATGCCGTAAACCACAACCCTGGTAGCATGGTCTGACATCCCCTCACAGGCTCTGAGGAGATGATGTCATACAAAATATGTTCTGGGATGTGGCTTTGGAAAGGTTGAGAAAATAAGATGTTGTTTCTCTTTTCTGTCTCCCACCCTTGCTCTACCCTTTTTTCCTCCTCCCTCTCCTTTCCCTCCTGATCCCTGACCTCAGCTGTTCAGCATGAAGAGCTGGAGTGACATGCGGCAGGAGGTGATGTTTCTGACCAACGTGAACAGCTCCATCTCCTCCACCCAGATATACCAGGCTGTCTCCCGCATTGTCTGTGGCCACCCCGAGGGTGGGGGCCTGAAGATCAAGTCCCTCAACTGGTATGAGGACAACAACTACAAAGCCCTCTTTGGAGGCAATGGCACTGAGGAGGATGCTGGCGCCGTCTATGACAATTCTACAAGTGAGTGTCTGTGCAGGCCCACGCCCTGGCCTCTGCCACCTTCGATGTAGACTCAGGCAGCCCTGTGTCCCCTCTCCCTCATGCTAACCCTCATCCTCTGGTGCAGCATTGGATGTGCATGTGTCTGTTTGCTCACCACTGAGCACCTAGAACCTAGCGTCTTTTCCTGATTAGCTACCTATCCCCACTGCTCGGGACCTGGCATGTCTCAGGTACACAGTGTGTTTGTTTATCAAGTGGTGAATGAATAGTTGAAAGCCAATCTCCCAGTTTTCTGGGGAATGTAGGAGAGTGGTTCCCAGAATAATGAAGGCTTTTCTCCCCTCTTCCTCTCCTCTCTCCTTCCTCTTGAGGTATCTATAGCTATAAAGAGCCAGGGTCCATAACATCCACAACGACCAAAGGCTCGACCGACCGCCCAGGCTGCGTGCGCAGCAGGCTATGGAAGGTGGGGACTTGTGGCAGCTAGGGTGGGGCTGGGGTGGCGGGGCTGGCACTCACACTCACAACCGCGCACACACACACAGGCACACACAGCGCCCACCAGTTCACACTCTTTTCTCCCTTTCTTTCCCTGACCATTCTCAGAGCCTCTCTCAGAATGAGGCCCCAGGGCAGAGGGTGGAGCTTCCCTCACTGGCCCCCCGCTCCCTCCCAGCCCCTCCCTCCCAGCCAGGAAAGAGGGAGGCAGGGAGGCCCAGAGGACTGCTGAGAAAAACAAAGACAGAGACTGGGAGAGCCTGGGATGGAGAGATGGAAACAAAAATAGCAATATTAAAATATTTCTTCTAATTAATTCCCTTTTAATTAATGTGCACGAATTTTGTGCACCGGGCCACTAGCGCTTTATAATAAAAACTTAAAAAATAGCAGTAATAATAACAACAACATGAAAGTCAACCTTGAGGGAACATTTCCTATGCATTCTGCTCATTAGCTCATTGAACCCATATGGTAGCCATGCAAGGAAGGTTTTATAGCCTCACATTCTACAGGCTCAGAGAGGTTCAGTGACGTGTTCAAAGCCACACAAGCCTCAGTAATCCACAAGAGCCAAGGTTAAGCCCAGATCCCCCTGGCTCCAGCTTTTTTTCTGGTAAACCACACAGCCTCTGAAATACCTGTCAGCGAAGGCGTGTGTCTCCCATCAGGCCCGGGCATTTGATCAGGTGTTTGTTTTGGGTCTTAGCTGCGATGTGGTGTTAAAGAACCTTGTAACTCCATATCTGCTGCTCACACCCGGGCAGTTTGGATGGCAGCGAGGAGCCAGTGTTACAGTTTGAAACAATGGCATCCTTTCCCTTGAAAACTTGATGCAAGCGAGCCTTTCTCCATTTCCAACCGCAGGTGTGTCTTTCAGACAGCGAGTGAGGCAGCTTTTTGTGCATGACTGTAACCCAAGAACCTCTCCTTACCGCTGGAGTAAAGACCTCAGACAGCGCAGTTGCTTTGCAAGCCAGAGGGGATGGCGTTACAGGCAGTTTTCTGAAACGCCATCCCCTCTGCTCCTCGCTTTGCAAGTCAACCGAGGGAACCTTCATTTTCCCAACAGGTGGACTTGTGAGCAGATCCTCTTTAAAAAAAAATTATATTGTTTTGGCAGCATGTAGCAGCGGTTCTCAACCTGTGGGTCGCGATCCCTGAAAATACATCCTGCATATCAGATATTTGCATTATGATTCATAACAGTAGCAAAATTACAGTTATGAAGTAGCAACGAAAATAATTTTATGGTTGGGGGTCACCACAACATGAGGAACTGTATTACAGGGTTGCGGCATTAGGAAGGTTGAGAACCACTGAGAGGATACTTGGTATCTAAAAGAACCTGGAATGAAATGTAAAAAAAAAAAAAAAAAAAAAATTAAGAATCCTTCTGGAAAATCAAACCCTAGTATCTGGTTTAACTTCAGATTTCTCAGTTTAGGATTTTTTTTTTTTTACATTGGTTATTTATATTTGTGATGAGACCTTTTAATGAAGGGGAATTGTTTTTTATTTATTTTTAATAAATATTTTTGAAAGTATTACATATGTCCTCTTATCTCCCCCCCCCGCCCCCCATGGGAATTGTTTGATTTTTTTTTTGCATGGAAACTAAATTCTGAGTTCAGCCCTGTGTTTTCAATGAAAACAAATTGGTGAGGATCGGCATGAGGGTATGGACCTAGGGGTATGCAGGCTTGTTGTGCACAGTAAAAACATTTTCTAGATCCGTCTCCATTGTGAGCGTTCCATAATCAGGGTTATAGGAAGCTCTGATTATTTATCAAGCATTGTTCTAAGGGCTCTCCAGACAGCTGTAATGAACTTCCTTTTTACAGGGGAGCAAACTGAGGCTCAGGCTGGCTGTTGTTTATTATGTAGCTATTAAGTGGTAGAGCAGGGATTTGAACCTGGGACTGTCTCGCTGGCTCCAAAGCCCTGTTAGTTCCCACGGGTCTGTAAGCACGCATGTGGACGTCTGTCTTTCATCGTCACAGGTCCTTATTGCAACGATGTGATGAAGAGTTTGGAGTCCAGTCCGCTCTCCCGCATCATATGGAAAGCCCTCAAGCCTCTGCTTGTTGGGAAGATCCTGTATACACCGGACACTCCAGCCACGAGGCAGGTCATGGCTGAGGTAAGCTGCCCAAGCCCAGGATTTTCTCTCCAGAATCGCAGGTGGTTCCAGATGGAGTATATTGAGCAAATCCTGGCTCTTCTGGGATTTCCAAAGAGTGGGAACCTTGGGTTTGACCCAGGCCGGAGCTGACTGTTGAGGTCCGGCTCTCCAGCCTTGGGTATTTGAATCGCAGCTGCCGGCAGGTACTCCCTGGGGATGGGAAGGGCTGAGAGAGGGTGCTGGGATGAGCATCTTTTCAGGGAGCAGCTGTATTTCTCATGTCTCTGCCTCTCTCCTCTTTTCTTCCGTCTCTCCCTGGCTCCCCGCCTCACTCCAGGTGAATAAGACCTTCCAGGAACTGGCTGTGTTTCATGACATAAAAGGCATGTGGGAAGAGCTTAGCCCCAAGATCTGGACCTTCATGGAGAGCAGCCCAGAAATGGACCTTGTCCGGGTGAGTGTCTTTCTGATGACCGTGCGCCTGCTTGATGCTAGAGAGGCGAGTTTCTAGTCACTTACCCAGAAGTGGCTTCGATGAGAATTCTTTACCTTTAACTAGTGTAGACGTATTGAGCTGAGCGCAAGCCACAGGGCTGTCAGCTTTGTAGAGCTGCAGGTGATGAGCACAGGTAACCCTGTTTCTTGCACATCAGCATCCATGCGTCTGGCGCTCGAACATCAGTTTTCTAAGAAACTGAGGGCTGGTGTTTGGAGCGAGCATTGGGTGATTGCAGGACCCTGGCTGTTTTCATTTCTGGCTCTAGAGCCAGCTTCGCCTTCCTGTGTCCTGGTGGAACTTGGACATGGGTGTGGGAGCAGAGGGCTACTCTGACCCATAGACAGGTGCGAGAGACCTGCTCCGAGGAGCCACCATTACCGCGTGGAGGCTAATTGCACTCAGTGCTTCCGCTTCACTTGAAAAGGATTAGTGCTCTGGAGACAATTGGATTCAAAAGCAGAGGAGTCTGAGCAAGAACAGAATGTCTCCTCCGCCCGAGCCCGAGCCCGAGTGCCATTTAATCACATCATCCCTGCCTTGGGCCGAGCCAGGATCATTAGGCTGTTTTCTATCTCCACGGACTGGAGGCGCTTCCTTTCGTGTCTGCTGCCATTAAGAAGCAGGGATGGATTTTGCCAGGTTTCTTGTCTTGACACCTCATTGATCAGAGAGGCAGCTGGGTTTGAGAGCTGATACCTATCTGGAAGGAACTGTCTCAGACATAGGACTGTCCCCAGATGCCCTGGGAGGGGCATTTCCCAGGGGACCTTCCCCTAATGGCAAAGCTGGAGTCATCTTTGTTGTGCTGGTCTTGTTATCTATGCAGAATTCTTAACTTGGGGCCTTTCCAAAACCAAGGGACTTTAGTGAGAAAAACATGGAACAACAATTTTTATGGGTTTACTGGCTAACTCCTGACTCATAATAGTCACAACGCACGCCCTTCAAGTATGGTTCTCAGTTGGGCTCCAGTCTCTTCTCGGTGAAGGGATTCCGTGGCCCAGCCATGCACAGTGACTGGACCTCATGTGATCCCAGGCCTCTTCTTCCTGGTTCCCTTCCTGGTCCCCCCCTTGGAACCTGCACTTCTCCCTGTTGGATTTCTCTCCTCCTGAGTCCTGGAGGATCCCATGAGTGGGAAGGGATTCCGTGAGTTTGGGTCTGGAGGCAGGTAGATGCTTTCCCTGCTCTTAAATGGAGAGTTTGGCCTGGATGTTCCAGCAGCTCCCAGGCTCCCAGTTGTTTGGGACAAAGCCTTGTACACGTCGCTGTGGCATTCATTAGGGATCCTGTGGGAGGCCCCAGGATGTGCAAGAGGGATGTGGGAGCTGTGGCTGGGGAGAAGGCATGGCCTGTGGTTTGGAGGACCGTGATTTTAGCTCCAGGACCCAATGAAAGGGCTTGAAGCAAGGGGAGATGTAGATGTCTTACTCCGATGTGACAAGTGGATTAAAGTGGGGGACGATGGCGGCAGAGACCAGGATGGAGGCCAGCCAAGTGGACGGCCAGTGCCAGCAGGAGGTGACGCCTGAGGGCTGCTTGAATGGAGAGGGTGAAGGACAGGGAGGCGTGAGGAGGATTTTTGACTTCTGGCTGGTGGATGGTGGGGCTGTCCATTAGGCTGACAGATATTGGGGCCGGGAGAACAGGGATGGTTAGTCTGGAAACTGACTAGGGACTGATCAGCCTGTGGGTGGACATTGAAGGAGCCTCCTCCGACTTTCCTTTCTCTATGAAGGAATGTTTGTTTCACACTGCAAGCTTGGGCTTCTCCTACTCTGTACCCCTTACAGCCTCATGGAGTCTGGCACATCAGGCAGTGCCTGAGGTCTCTGCTGTTGTTGGCGTAGTTCTTTTCCTTTTTTTGCTCTGTTTCCCTCTTTCTCTCTGTCTCCCAATTCTCTCTTTCC